TTCCTCCTGATAACATGTCTAAAGTATGTGAGACACAATCTCGCCATCCTTGCTTCTAAGGAGCATTCTGGTTGTACTTCTTCCGAGACAGATTTGTTCATTCTTTTGGCAGTCCATGGTATATTCAATATTCTTCACCAACACAATTCAAAGGCATCAATTCTTCTTCGGTCTGCCTTGCTCTTCATCCAGCTTTTGCATGCATATGAGGCAAGTGAAAACACCACGGCTTGGGTCAGGCACACCTTAGTCTTCGAGTTGACATCTTTGCTTTTCAACACTTTAAAGACGTCTTTTGCAGCAGATTTGCCCATTGCAATGAGTCTTTTAATTTCTTGACTGCTGCTTCCATAGGTGTCAATTGTGGATCCAAGTAAAATGAAATCCTTGACAACTTCAATCTTTTCTCCATTTATCATGATGTTGCTTATCGAGCCAGTTGTGAGGATTTGTTTTATGTTGAGGTGTAATCTATACTGAAGGCTGTGGTCTTTGATCTTTATCAGTAATTGCATCAAGGCCTCTTCACTTACAGCAAGCAAAGTTGTGTCATCTGCATAATGCAGTTGTTAATGAGTCTTCCTCTAATCCTGATGCCCTGTTCTTCACATGGCCCAGCTTCTCAGATTATTTGCTCAGCATACAGATTGAATAGGTATGGTGAAAGGATACAACCCTGATGCACACCTTTCCTGACTTTAAACCACGCAGTAACCCCTTGTTCTTGATGTACAGGTTCCTCATGAGAACAATTAAGTATTGTAGAATTCCCATTCTTCACAAATGTTATCCATAATTTGTTATGATCCACATAGTCAAATGCCTTTGCATAGTCAATAAAACAGGTAAACATCTTTCTGGTGTTCTCTGCTTTCAGCCAGGATCCATCTGACATTGGCAATGATATCCCTCATTCCACGTTCTCTTCTGAATCTATTTGAATTTCTCACTGTTCCGTCAATATACTGCTGCAGCCACTTCTGAATAATCTTCAGTAAAATTTTACTTGTGTGTGATATTAATGATACTGTTTGATAATTTCCACATTCGGTTGGATAACCTTTCTTTGGAATAGGAATAAATATGGATCTCTTCCAGTCAGTTGGCCAGGTAGCCGTCTTCCAAATTTCTTGGCAAAGATGAGTGAGCACATCCTGCACTGCATCCGTTTGTTGAAACATCTCAACTAGTATTCTGTCCATTCCTGGAGTCTTGTTTTTTGCCAATGCTTTCAGTGCAGCTTGGACTTCTTCCTTCAATATCATATGTTCTTGACCATATGCTACTTCCTGAAATGGCTGAACATCTACCAGTTCTTTTTGGTATAGTGACTCTGTGTATTCCTTCCGTCATCTTTTGATGCTTCTTGCATTGGTCAGTATTTTGCCCATAAAGTCTTCAATATTGCAGCTCGAGGCTTGAATTTTTTCTTCAGTTCTTTCAGCTTGAGAAATGCCAAGCATGTTCTTCCCTTTAGGTTTTCTAACTCCAGGTCTTTGAACACGTTATTATAATACATTACTCTGTCTTCTCAAGCCGCCCTTGAAATCTTCTGTTCAGCTCCTTTACTTCATCATTTCTTCGTTTCACTTTAGCTACTCAGTGTTCAAGAGCAAGTTTCAGGGTCTCTTCTGACATCAATTTTGGTCTTTTCTTTCTTGTCTTTTTATTTAATGGCCTCTTGCTCTCTTCACGTGATGTCCTTGATCTTTTTCCACAATTCATCTGGTCTTCAATCATTAGAGTTCAATGCATCAAATCTATTCTTGAGATGGTGTCTAAATTCAGGTGGGACACACTCAAGGTCATATTTTGGCTCTTGTGGACTTGTTCTAATTTTCCTCAGTTTCGACTTGAACTTGCATATGAGCAATTGATGGTCTGTTCCGCAGTTGGCCCCTGGCCTTTTTCTGACTGATGATATTGAGCTTTTCCATTGTCTGTTTACACAGATGTAGTTGATTTGATTCCTGTGTATTCCATCTGGCGAGGTCCACGTGTATAGCTGCCATTTACATTGGTGAAAAAAGGTATTTGTAATGAAGAAGTCATCGGTTTTGCAAAATTCTATCAAGCAATCTCCAGCATTGATGCTACAAACTACACAGTAAGAAAACAAAGAATAAATTAGAAAATGGGCAAAAGACATGAACTGACACTACAACAAAGAGGATATAGAAATGGCAAATAAGCAATGGAAAGGTGTTCACCATTATTAGACATGAGAGAAATGAAAGTTTAGGTCATGATCAAATACCATCACACACCTAATAAAATGGTTAATATAAAATATAATGACAACACCAAGTGCTGATAACAATGAAAAGCAACTGAATCTCTTAAGTGCTGGTGATAGAATGGCTAAAATATATTGAATATACCAAGTGTTGGAGAGAATATAGAACAAACGGACCTTTGCTGGTGGGAATGTAAAATAGTATAGCAACTCTAGAAAATAGCTTAGTAAAGTTAAATACAACTAAACATATGACCCAGAAATTGTACATATGAATACCTATCCTAAAGAAATGAAAATATTCACACAAAACCCTGTATACAAATTTCAAATCATTTTTATTTGTAACAATAAAATCCTGGAAATAAGTCTCCTTTAAGGATGAACTGATAAACAAACTGGCACATCCAGTTTGCATACCACTCAGTAACATGAAACAATTATTCATCAGCTTAGATGACTCTTATGAGCAATTTGGTGTGACAAAAACACCAATCCAAAAAGCTTACATATTGTATGTTTCCATTTTTACAAAATTGTTGAAATAACAAAATGTATACTGACAGAGAACAGATCAGTGGTTGCCAGGGTTAGGCTTGGAGAGAGAACATGAGCATAAAAAATGTAGCGCAGGGGAGTTTGTGTTGAAATAGTTTTACATTCTGATTGTGGTGGTGGCTACATGAATCTCTAAATGTAATAACGCTTCTTACAATCACACACTAAAAAGGTTTCATTTAAAAACTAGTGAAAATCCAAATAAAATTAGTAATTTAATTAATAGTATTCTACCCATGTCATTTTCTTGGTTTTGATAAAGAAATATGTTTAGGTAGGATGTTTTCACTAGAAGAAGTTGGTGAAAGATAGTAGGAAAGTCTCTGGACTATTTTTGCAATTTCTTGTCAGCTTAAAATTATCTCAAATTAAAGGTTTTATAAAAATAACTTTGAAGGTTATTTTGTAATCTCTTTGGTCATATGATAAACCTAGTCAAGCATTTCCAAAAATGTTACATTTCTAAATTTAAAATACTGTTTTCAGTGTGGGAGGAAAGGGAAAAAGGGGGAGCTTTTGCTTAGGGGACAGTGAGTTTATGTACAATTTGGAAAAGGATAGCGAGAATGGCTGCACAACTTAAAGAATGTAATCAATGTCGCTGAAATATACATGCATAAACTGTTGAATTGGTGAATGTTTTGTTATGTATCATTTCACCACAATTTAAAAAAATTCAGTTTCCTTTTTAAGTACTTCAGTAGCTAAGTTAAATAAACTCAGAACCAAAGAAATATAAGAACTAATCACATAATATGGGATAGTCATAGAACACTCCTGCATTGTATATACGAATAAAACTTAGGGATGAGGAAAGCAGAGCACTTTTGTAAAATTATGGAAGCACTGGCAAGGCAACTAGGAATACAGTTAGAAGTATCCAGTCTGAAAATGCACATTAGGTATTATCTGGTGTTATGAGGTTAGACTTGTAATAAAAAGCATACAAAGATTCATTTTCAAAGGACTTCATTCATCTTCACACTTTACTATTTCTGATATTTTGCAAATGGTACTCCACAATTAGCATGTTCATAGGTTTTATTTCCTATATCATTTTGTGACAAAAGATGCAACAGAATGTATTACTGAAATACTGTCATAATCATTGTCATTTTCAAGTTTTCCTCCAGTGTGAACTCTCTGACACTTACTGAGATTTTATTTTTGGATGAAGGCTTTCCCGTGGTCGTTATATTTCTATCAGCTAGCTCAATGATGATCTATGATAACCACTGATAATTAGATCTACCTAATCTCTGTATTTATAGGACTTCCTCAGTATAAATATGTATTCTATATTCAGACAAATAATTTTTGTCTGAAGGCATTTCCACATTAAATGGACCAGAATTTTTTCCTTTATAGTTTTCACTGACAGAAAATGTGAGGTAATGATCACTGAAGGCACTACCACATTCACTGCATTGAAAAGGTTTCACTTCAGGGAAAATTCTTCAATCTCCTGAGGGTGCACATCTCACATTAGGCAGAACCATATTGATTATATTTCAATCCGCTAAAAGCCCACTGTCTTAGGTTGAGTTCTCTAGAGAAGCAAAACCAGTGATGTGTGTATATATATATATACAGAGAAAGACATTTATCTCAAGAAAATGGCTCAAACAGTTGTACAGGCTGGCAAGTCCAAAGTCCATGGGTCAGGCGTCAGGCTGGAGACTTCTCATGACTCACATACCTGCAGGTGCTGATGAACCCAAGATTGGCAGGTCAAATGGCAGGCTGCTGGCTCATGGGCTGTGGTGGCTGACAAATCTAAGACTGGCAGGTAAGACGGCAGGATGCTGGCTCACAGGCTGTGGAGGCTGATGAATCCCAAGACTGGCTGGCAATACAGCAGGCCACTGGCTCAAGTCCCAAGAACTGGAGGTCAGATGATGACGAGCTGGATGCAGGATCGAGTGGGCAAAAAAGCCAGCGAGCTTTGCCAAAAGGTCCATAAATATTGGTTGCAGGCCACATCCCCAAGGAAACTCCTCTTACAACTGATTGGCTGATCACATCATGAAGGTGATTATCTCACAAATGGAGAATAACTACATCATTACATAACTGCCAAACTACACCATTACATAACTGCCAAACCAGTGAGAATCATGGCCTAGCCAAACTGACACACAGCCTTAATCACAACATCCACTGATGTTTAATGAAGGCTGAATTGCCCCAGAGACATTTTCACAGTCACTGTATTCACAGGGTTTTTTCTTTTTCTTTTGAATGAGATCACTTGGAAGTAATGAGCTTTGACTCTCTGTTAAAAGAGCTTTCACCTTGACTGAATTTACACATTTCTCTTGTGTGCATTCTCTTATGTTTAACAAGGTTTGACAAGTGGGAAAAAGCCTTCTCACAATCACTGCATCCATATGGTCTCTCTCCCGTGTGAGTTCTTCGATGTACATTGAGAACTGACTTTGTGGTGAAGGCTTTCCCACATTCACTGCACTCATACGGTTTCTCTCCTGTGTGAATTCTCTGATGCGTAATGAGACCATATTTGTGCGAATAGGATTTTCCACACTCAGTACATACAAATGGAGTATTCCCTGTATGACAACGCTCATGTTGTATGAGGCATATCTTCTGGCTGAAGGCTTTACCACATTCATTACATACATAGGGTTTCTCTCCAGTATGAGTTCGCTGATGTATAACGAGAGTGCGCTTTGTGGTGAAGCCTTTTCCACATTCATTGCATATATAAGATTTCTCTCCTGTATGAGTTCGCTGATGTATAATGAGAGTGCGCTTCACAGTGAATCCTTTTCCACATTCGTTGCATATATAAGACTTTTCCCCCGTATGAGATCGTTGATGCACGACAAGATTGCTCTTCACGGTAAAGCCTTTTCCACATTCATTGCATATATAGGGTTTCTCTCCAGTATGAGTGCGTTGATGTACAACAAGGTAGCGTTTCATGGTGAAGCCTTTTCCACATTCACTGCATATATAGGGTTTCTCCCCTGTATGAGTTCGTTGATGTACGATGAGATTACTCTTCACAGTGAAGTCTTTTCCACATTCCTTGCAAACATAGGGTTTCTCTCCAGAATGAGTTCGCTGATGTGCGATCAGATAGCGCTTCATTGTGAAGCCTTTTCCACATTCACTGCATATATAGCATTTCTCTCCCATATGGCTTTGCTGATGCACAGTAAGACTGCTCTTTACAGTGGAGCTTTTTCCATATTCACTAGCTATATAGGGTTTCTCTCCTGTATCAGTTTTCTGATGCTTGGAAAATGTGAAATTTCTAGAGGATTTTCCACATTGACCACATCCATGGAGGTTCTCTCCTTGATGAATGCTTTGATGGTAAATGAGCTGAGACTTCTTGACGTATGCTTTCCCACATTCAACGCATGCATGAGGTTTCTCTATGCTGTGAGTTCTCTGATTTTTAAAGACTTGGGATTTAGTGCTGATGCATTTTGCAGTTTCAGGGAATTTAATTTCAGCATGAAATTGTTCATGCTTACCATGTAGAAGGTTTTTTCTATCTCTATGAAAATCAGCAGGGTTCTTTATTTCAGATGTTCTGTTCTGGCTGGCTACACTTAAATTTGATTTCAAAGTTTTTCTATATAAGCCAAACATATCATGATTCTGCATTAGGGGAAAATGGGTTTTGCTCAGATGAATAATATTTTCAAATGCATTCTGTTCAGTGCATTGTTCAATTCTTTTGAGAAAGATTTGGTTTTGAAAGTGCTGTTTTAGATGACTGTCAACTTTTCTCATTTCTAGGAAAGAAGAGAACAATTAATTCTTCCATGAGAATGGTATGGAATAAAAGTGCTTAAAAATGACTTGGTGTGGGCTAGCTCTTTATTGCTAACAATATAATCCCAGTATAAAAGAAAATTAGGAAAATAAATAGAGATCTAAGAGATAAGAGACAAGGGGTATTCTTCCTTCTAAACATCCTGAAAGGAAAAGTCTCACATGGGGAGAAGGATAGGTAGAGGAGTTCTTTAGGGACCCTCAGATACCTTCACGGCTGCCATGCCTTCTCTGAATGACCAAAATATAACTTATAAGGCAACTCCTCTTACAGGTTCTCACTTACTCACCTGGACAAACTATACTGCAGATTTCATCTTCTATTATCCATGGCTCTTCTCCTTGTTCCAGCTTGGAGAGTGCATGTGGTTTGCTAGCTTGATACCCTGGTTTGTAAGAAATGATAAGAGACTTAGCCACACTGAGTTGGAGTAGGTGTGCCAAGATAGGAGTTATTACATTTTAGGGACAAAACAATTTCTTATATGCAAAGTAAAAGCTTTTCTTTCAGGATAGAGGAGATTACAGACATTTGTTTGGGGCCAGAGAAGGGACTGAAAATTTAACACTTCAGAAAAGTGCAAAGCTTTTGGGTACAAAGCTTTCAGCAGTTAAGAAAGGAAAGGCAAGTGACTGGGCACCCTGAGTGACACAGTTGAGTTGCATTTACCCATTGATATCAGGTTGTTATAGTTCTCCAACATCACATCCCAATACAGCTCCTTCTGAGTAGGGTCCAGGAGCTGCCACTCCTCCCAGGTGAAGTTCACAGCCACATCCTCCAAAGTTAACAATTTCTATAATAACAGACATATTTAATGTGATGTCAATTCCATATATTGATACAGAATAAATGTGAAGGAAGTTATTCTGATAAATTTCACCATATAGCCTGCATCTATATGTTTTTCAAACACATTTTGGTAGAAGCAAATTCTAGCTCTCTCTCTATGGATCTAGCTATATATATTCACCTGTTTGTCAAGTACTAAACATATACTAAAAGTACATGGTGGTGCAAACATTTATGTGCTTGGCTGTCAGTTCAAATGTACCCAGAGGTAGTTTGGAAGAAAGGCCTGGTGATGTACGTCCAGGAGATAACAGCCATTGAAAACCCTATGGAGTGCAGTTCTACTCTGACACACATGGGGTCACCACGAGTCAGCATTGACTCAACGGCAACTGGGTTTTTTTAAACGTATGTTAATGACATCAGCACAAATAAAATATTCCTACATTACCATAAGATTTCACAGCCAAAATAAAAATCAATCATGAACAGACTACACATGCTGAAATTACAATATATTAAGTGTTCTTAATAAATTTAAGGGGATAAAAGGAACTATATAAGATATGTTGAAAGCACAAAAGGCCATTGCAGCACAACGAATTATAATGAGTTACTTTGTAACTCCTACCAAATGAGGATTATGAAAATGAGGTGCTTGTGGCCCACCAAGAGAATTGGATACATCATTAACAATATAAATAAGGTACATGGCACCCTTGTGGGGGTGGGACCATGCAAATAAGGTGTATGAAACCCTAATGAAAGGATTGGGCAGTTTTGTCATCCTGCTAGGCTTAAAAGAGTCAATCCCAGAGCAGAGGGGAAGCTGACTACCACCAAGAAGATCCAGGAGCAGAGCATGTCCTTTGGAACCAGGGTCCCTGTGCTGAGAAGTTCCTAAACCCAGGAGACAGAGAGAGAGATGGTACAAGATGGCAAGAAGCAGCAGCAGAGGAGAAACGACTGCAGCAGAACCAGGAAACAGGCAGGAGATTGTGGTTACAATGGGATGTTGAACCATGGAGGAAGAGAGCTGAGTGCCTTCAGACTGAGGCTCACTGGCAGAGTGGAGTGCTTCTGTGTATTATTGGCAGAGCTAAAAGAGCTTTGTAACACATGCATGAGCAGGGCAGAGAATGAGGGGCCAGAAGGAGATGTGCCTGTAGGCACGGGTGAAAAGAGGCTGTCCTGATTCAAGAGTTGTATCCTGAGTGTTCCTGATCCTGAATTATAACCTGTTGCTTCCCTAATAAACTCCATAATTGTGAGTATTGTCTGTGTGTTCTGTGATGGTACTGAAGGAAGAGGTCCAAGCTGCACTGAAGGCACTGGAGGAAAGCAAGTCTCCAGGAATTGATGGAATACCAACTGAAATGTTTCAACAAATGGATGTAGCCCTGGAGGTGCTCACTTGTCTATGCCAAGAAATTTGTAAGACAGCTACCTGGCCAACTGATTGGAAGAGATCCATATTTGTGCCCATTTCAAAGAAAGCGGATCCAACAGAATGTGGAAATTATTAAACAGTATCATTAATATCACATACAAGTAAAATTTTGCTGAAGATCATTCAAAAGTGGTTGCAGCTGTACATTGAAAGGGAACACTGAGAAATTCAAGCTGGATTCAGAAGTGGACGCAGAACGAGGGATATCATTGCTGATGTCAGATGAATCTTGGCTGAAAGCAAAGAATACAAGAAAGATACCTAGGTTTTATTGACTATGCAAAGGCATTCAATTGTGTGGATCATAACAAATTATGGATAACATTGCAAAGAACGGGAATTCCAGAATACTTAATTGTGCTCATGAAGAACCCGTACACAGACCAAGAGGCAGTCCTTCAAACAGAACAAGAGAATATTGCGTGGTTTAAAATCAGGAAAGGTGTACGTCAGGGTTGTATCCTTTCACTATACTTATTCAATCCATATGCTGAGCAAATAATGAGAGAAACTGGACTATACGAAGAAAAATGGGGCATCAAGATTGGAGGAAAACTCATTAACCATATGCAGACGACATAATATGCAGATGACATAACCTTGCTCGCTGAAAGTGAAGCGGATTGAAGCACTTACTGATGAAGATTAATGACTACAGCCTTCAGTATGGATTACACCTCAACATGAAGAAAACAAAAATCCTCACAACTGGATCAATAAGCAACATCATGATAAATGGAGAAAATATTGAAGTTGTCAAGGATTTCATTTTACTTGGATCCACAATCAACAGCCATGGAAGCAACAGTCAAGAAATCAAATGACGTACTGCACTGGGCAAATCTGCTGTTAAACAGCAAAGATGTCACGTTAAGGAGTAAGGTGCGCTTTACCAAGCCATGTTATTTTCAATTGCCTCGTATGCATGCAAAAGTAGGACAATGAATAAGGAAGACTGAAGAAGAATTGATGCCTCTGAATTACAGTGTCGGTGAAGAGTACTGAATATACCATGGACTGCCAAAAGAATGAACAAATCTGTCTTGGAAGTACAACCAAAATGCTCCTTAGAAGCAAGGATGGCGGGACTTCATCTCACGTACTTTGGGCATGTAATCAGGAGGGACCAGTCTGTGGAGAAGGACATCATGCTTGGTAGAGTCAGCCAAAAAGAGGAAGACCCTCAGTGAGATGGACACAGTGGCTGCAACAATGGGCTCAAGCATAATGACTGGGAGGATGGTGCAGGACCAGGTAGTATTTCACTTTGTCATACATAGGATACAACAGGTCAAAACCGCCTCGATGGCATCTAACAGCAACAACAACAGGTTACAAATCAGCATCAAAAATGACTCAGGACACAGTTTGATCAGCGCAGCTTCTCAGCCATGCCCTCAGGCAGGCCTCTCTCCCTCTCTGTCCCTCAGCCTGGCCTCTGCCCTGCTTCAGCAAGTGTTATAAGGCCCTTTAGCTCCACCAGTAAGTGCTCGGCGGCACCCCACTCCACCAGCAAGCCTCCTGCCTGAAGGTGCTCAGCTCTCTTGCTCTGTGGGTCAGCATGACCACTGTAGCGGCCTCACTCTGTGGTCTGGGAAGCCCACCATGCCTTCTTGGGCTGGGCTCTTGGTTTTGCTGCTGCTTCTTGCCATCTTGTGCTGTCTCCTGTGTTACAGCTCTCTCGGCCTCCTGGATCTAGGATATTCACAATGCAGGGATCTCAGGTCCACAGGACATGTTCCACTCCTGGCTCTTCTTTCTTAATGAGGTCCCCTCTCCCCATCTCTGGGCTGGCTCATTTTAAGCCTAGCGGAATGGCAAAACTGACCAACCCCTTTGTTAGGGTTCCATATACCTTATTTGCATTGTCCCACTCCCAAAAGTGTTCCAGGTACCTTATTTGCATTATTAACAAGCTGTCGAATCCCCTTGGTGGGCCACAAGCACCTAATTTGCATAGTCTTAATCATTTTGTAGGAGTCACAAGACCGTGAATGGCTAGAAGGGTCATATTAAGTAATTCACTGCACCACAATGCCCCTGTGTAATCCTCTCCCTTGGGCATCAGTTGGCTTAATAATTTTTTTCTGAATGAAATAATACAGGAAAGGAAATGGGATACCACTTTTCTGGTTAGACTACATATGATATGATTTCCATCTTGCTGTTGTTGTTAGGTGCTGTTGAGTTGGCTCCGACTCACAGTGACCCCATGTCCAACAGAACATCTTGCTAGGAGAATCTTTTTTGGCTTTGATGATATATCAGTTGGCATGTTGGGTAGGTCCATGTGGCAAATAACTGAGGGTGGCCTTCAATGAATGTATGGCTAAAATCTGAGACCCTCAGCTGAACAGGCCGTCTGGAGATGAATTCTGCCAACAACCAAGTAAATGAGCTTGGAAGTGCATCCTTCCCCAGTTGAGTATTCAGATCAGACCCCACTCTGGCCGACACCTTGATTATGGCCTTGTGAAAGACTGTAAAGCAAAGTACCCAGCTAAGCTGTGCCCATATTCCTGACTCAAAGAAACTATGAGAATAAAAATGCGTGTTGTCTGAAGCTGCTACATTTTAGAAAAATTTGTTAGGCACCAATAGATAACCAATACAGGAAATAAACATTAAAACAAAAACTTAATAGAAGAAATTATGTGATCTGTTTATGATTAAAAAAAAAAAAAGCAGGCAAGGAAAGAACTGACAAATTTTAATTTCAATAAAAACAAAATTTCTCCACGGAAAAAAGATACTATGAACAAAGGTAAAAGAGTTTGGAAAAAATATCTGCAATGTATAAAATAAAGAATCAATATACAGTAGAGATAATTAACTGTAAATCAGTAAGATAAAACAGAATTATTTTAATGAGCAAAGAATAAGGGCAAAAATCTCACAGAAGAAGTAATCCAAATGAGAAACAAAGAGACAAGAAGGATCTGAACCTTGTCAGTGATTAGGAAACTGCAAAATAATGTTGGACTATTCAAGCTTTGGAAAGAATGCCATTTGATTACATCATAAAACAAGTGTTAGCAAGATTTAGGCACTGGATGTTCTTTCATATGACTTTCTATGTACCAGCCATTCTTTTAAATGCTTTGTATAGAGTATCTTACCTTATACCATAATTATCTTATGAGGAAGGTGTCATTATCACACTCTCATTTTATAGACGAGAAAACTTAGGCGTATAATAATTAAATAAAGTGTGCAAGGTCACACAGTTGGCAAGTGGCTACAGAGTCAATTCTTGCAACCATTATGCTAAATGGACCATAAACTGGAACAGCCACCTGGACAGCAACTGGAAGCATCCATTAAAATGTGAAATGAGCACATCCAGTAATTTCTTTCTCGGTAGCCACCCTTAAGAAATACTGATACAACGTAACAAAAAGGCATTAATAAGGATGTTCATTGTCGCAGTGTTTATGTTTTAAAATACCTAAATGTTCACCTGTCTTGGAAGAAGTACCACCAGAATGCTCCTTAGAAGCAAGGAGGGCAAGACTACGTCTCACGTACTTTGGACATCTTAACAGGAGGGGAACAGTCCCTGGAGAAGGACATCACGCTTGGTAAAGTAGAGGGCCAGTGAAAAAGAGGAAGACCCTCAATGAGATGGACTGACACAATGGCTGCAACAATGGGCTCAAGCATGACGATTGTGAGGATGGTGCAGGACCGGGCAGTGTTTCATTCTGTTGTACATAGGGTTACCATGTGTTGGAATTGACTTGACAGCACCTAACAACAACAAATGTTCATCAGTAGGTGAATAGCTAAATTATCAAACACACATCGTTTGGAGTTCAGTGCATCAGGTTAAAAATAAAAAGAAAGCTCGTCTGCATGTACTAACATATAAAGAGGGCCAATACAATGAAAACAGCCTGGAGGGTGTACATTAAAATAACTGTAGTTCCCTCTGAAGAAAAGATTTATCTGTAAATATAATGATCAAGGGATCTTGAGTTTTATCAATGATGCCTGCATTTTACTCTCAATACATATTTTAAAGTTAGAGAAAGCCTCCATCTTTCTCCCCAAGAAGAATATACATTTATTATGCTAGTTTATCATTTTCCAGATTAAATAGTTCATTTTTACCAAACTCCCATGGTGACAATTTTTTTGAGAGCAAACTCATGTCATTTTTCTTTCAATCGGGAGGGAGTCCCTTCTAGTTGTCTGCTATGTTGTTTGGAGTATCATTCCATTCATATAAAATATGGCATAATAGATGTATGCGTTTATGTACGCAGATGTACACCTATGCACACATGCATCTGTAAAGAAAATACACACATACATATACACACGGGTACAATCACACAGAGTAAATACTACCAACTGTTTGTTAATGAGGAGGTCCCCGGGTGATGCAAATGGTTTGCTCTCGGCTACTAACTGTAAGGTTGATAGTTTGAATCCACCCAATGGTACTGCAGAAGAAAGGCTTGGCTATCTGCTTCTGTAAAGATTATGGCCAAGAAAACCCTGCAGAGGAGCACAGTTCTATTCCCTAACACATGGGCTCACCATGAGTTGGAATCAACTCAATGGCAATGGGGTTCGTTAATGCTACACTATGACACTAGGAAGGCATCTTTACCATGAGTTACCTATGTACTTCATTTACAAAAAAGAAAAAAAAAAGAGGTAGGTAAGAACTGAGTTTGAATACAGGGAAGGACAATACTTTCTAAAATGGAATCAAAATTAAATGGATGCCAACAACCCAAGTCCTTAGAAGAGAACATTATTTTCAATTCACTACCGCCAAATCTGTACTCAAACTCCACTTCAACCACCTGCTCATGGAGGACCATTTGAATATCATGCAATCTTTCCATTTTCCTAGGCTGTTTAGGTTTTATTTCTGGATAAACCATGACTGTCATAAGGCTCGGTCCCTGGGTCACCTAGCTGTGGTTCCCTGAAAAACTACATATACTGAGTTATGATTGATATATTCCCACAGGGGATCCTGAGGCCCTGTGTAAGAAACAAACATAAAAAATCTGCTTTTGCATTTATCTGAAGGCTGCTGATAAGGACACCATCCACCACATCATCTCTAGGAAAACCCAGCAAAAAAATTTCCTGAAAACTAAGTGACAAAAAATACTGACATCCCCCCGAGGAACTTCTCTGGCTTCTCTCCACAGTCAATGCATATTGTGCATCTTTCCATGTTTCTCTGGTTGTGATGGCTACTGGAGATATAAGACATAAGACTACAGCTAACGTCAGTCACAGGTCCCAACACAGTCACATACTGTGTTCCAATATTAGTTATACCATTTAGTATGATCCCTATGAACAATATATTCTTGATTCCACTTTGCCCTGATCTTCAAGTTGGAGTTTAAGTTTATTTTTCCCCAGAGCCCAATTATCCCAACTTAAACTCTTCTCAGAGTTGAGCTCATTTTTTTTTTTTCCCCCTCAGACACCACAAATTATCAGGGAACAAAGGAAAAACATAAAAAACCAAAAGTCACCTGAGCCTCAATCATTTTCTTTGGTGGTCAGGAGATAGCAAGTAACATGGAATCTCTGTCTTTTGTCTCTTCTGCATCTGTCACGAAATTCTTAGGATCAGAAATCTTGGTGTCCAGTTAAAGCTGCCCAGAGAAATGATGATAGCCAAGTCCTGGAACCTCCTCCCCTCTCCTTCACTTGATCTGTCTTGGTCCTGGAGAGCCAGAACCTGTGGGCTGAAGAGCAAATTGACTTTGAGTATACATTCCTTCTAGGCCCAGATGCTGCCACAGCTGCTGTGCACTCACCTTAAAGACCCTGATATTTCTAACTGTCTCTTTATTTGGTGCCCCAGAGTCTTTCACACCGTGGGTCAATAAAACAAGATTCTCAACATATAAATGTATGCTTTCTGTGAAGCTGAAGTAGCAGGGCTATGAAAGGGCAGGTGGGAAAACAGAACTAGCACAGCATGATGCCCCAGAGGCAGGTGAATTCTCATAAATCAATTTTAGGAAACAGGACATACAGAAGGTTTCAAGCATTTGAACTTTTTATCTTTTAAAAGCATGTGTGGAGGGGGAAAAAAAAAAAAAAAAAGCATGTGTGCCCATGCACTACTTCAAGTCTTATATACCCAATAGGTACACACACCTCAGTTTGAAAAGCAATATTACTAATCAAATCACAGGGACTGCCTTATTTGTTTTCACATTACAACACACTTTATTATGCTTTATAAAGTATATCATTATTTCCAGGAATTTCAACATCAGGAAGCTAAAGCTTAAGGATTAAGCATCTTTCCTAGGAACACACTCTACTTGAAATTTGAATCCAAGTCTGCCTGTCTCCAATTATATGACCTTAAACATGGTTGTATTCCCTTCACCAGATACCCTCTCTCATGATAAAACTTAGCTCTCTTTACTACAGTCTTTAAGTAGTTTACTACACAGAGAATCCCATGGTGAATGGCCATATAGTCACACAGGCATAACCTGAATATCTGAAATCAGTTTTTTAAAAAGTAATTTATTTTTTGTTGTTTTTGTTGAGAATATACATACAAAAACATACACCAATTCAAGTTTCTACAAGTACCTTCAGTGAAATTGATCACATTCTTCAAGCTGTGTAATCATTCTCACCCTCATTTTCTGAGTTGTTCCTCCCTCATTAACAAACTCACTGCCCCCAAAGGTTCCTATCAAATCTTTCAAGTTGCTGGTGTCAGTTTAATCCCATATAGATAGATCTTAAAAGAGCATAATGCTCAAGGCAGACATTCTTTACTGTTGTTGTTGTTGTCAGGTACTATCGAGTCGCTTCCGACTCATAGCGACCCTAGGTACAAGACAAAGAAATACTGCCTGGTCCTGCGTCATCCTCACAATCATTGCTATGTCTGAGCCCACTGTTGCAGTCACTGTGTCAATCTATCACATTCTTTACTAGTTAAGCTAAACTATTGTTTGGTTTTAAGAAGACTTAAGAGGCTATTTTTGGCTTAAGGTTTTGTGGTACATTGGATATCTTTTATATAACCTTTCTCGCCATGGTCTTGTAATTCCTGACAAATGACTGGGTGGGACTACACAAAGTGCTTGTGGCCCACCAACGGGATTGGACAGCATTACTAATAATGCAAATAAGGTACATGGAACCCCTGTGGAGGTGGGACCATGCAAATAAGATGTATGGAACCCTAATGAGAGGACTGGTCAGTTTTGCCATCCTGCTAAGCTTAAAGGGAGTCAATCCCAGAAGTGAAAGGGGGGACCTCACTACCATCAAGAAAGAAGGCAAGGAGTGGAGCTCATCCTTTGGTCCTGGGGTCCCTGCACTGAGAACCTCCTAGATCCAGGAGAGAGAGACAGCTGTTAACACCAGAGAGGGTGCAAGATGGCGAGAAGAAGCGGCAGAAAAATGGCAGCAGCAGAACCAGAAGACTGGCAAGAGACCACACGGTGGGCTTCCTGTCCCACCAAGCAAGGCAGCTACAGTGGGCATGCAAACTCACAGAGAGAGCTGAGACCCTTCAGGCAGGAGGCTTTCTGGCAGAGTAGGTGCCTCTGGGCACTTATCAGCAGAGCTAAAGATGTTTGTAATGCTTGCCTGAGCAGGGCAGAGATCAGGCCCTAGTGGGACTGAGGGCTGAGGGCCAAGAAAGGAGGCCTGTCTTGAGGGGGTTGAGAGGAGGCTTGTCACAAGAGAGCTGAGAGGAGGTCTGTCCTAGTTTTCTACCCCAGAGGGTTTGTTACCTTTATCCAGGTTGATTGACATTTCCTGGGTAAGTTGTAAAAAATTTGTTTTGATACTTTCTACTTGGCCCTGGGCAGCAGCCTGCCCTGTGGTTGGTATGCACCTTCCAATGACTGGACAATAGACCATGCAACAGATGTGAGCTGCAGCTTGTCTGTGCCTATCATGCAAATAAAGAGTCTGTGGCCTACCAAAAAGGGATTGGTCAGTTTGTGGCCTTGGTAGGAGGGCCATGCCTTGAAACTGATGAGGAGTTTGTAGATATAAGCAGCCAGCTCCACAGAAGTTTCTCAGACAGAAAGAAGCAAGAAGAAAAGCAACAGGAAGAAACAGAAGGAAGAAAGCAGAAAGAAAGGCAGAGAGATAGACAGGAGATGAAGGACCTCCTAAAAGAGCTGTAACACTGATCAAAAGCTGTTACACTGAAGACAGTGAGAGGCCCAAAAGGAGCCCAGCAGCAGAGCCAGTGGTGACAGGACCTGAAGGGGCCCAGCTGTAAAGCCAGTAGTAACAGACAGCAGAGCCAAGAGGAGCCTTTCCCAAGGAGCCTGTCCTCAGGAGTACAAAAGGAGGCCAGTCCTGAGAGAGAAAGAGGGAGAGAGACTTGTATGGCCGAGAGGAGCCAAGAGCTCTCCTGCACTGAAGGATGAACACTTTGCCTGCATGCTTCCTGATCTTGACCCTGAGTTGTAGCCTACTGACCCTGATGCTGAGTTGTACTCTGGTCATTAATAAACCACTAAACTGTAAGCATGGTCTGTGAGTTCTGTGTGACCACTGCAACGGATTATTGAACCCAGAAGAGAAGTAAGGGTGCCATGGGAGGGATGGCTGGTGTCAGAATTGGTAAAGAGTTTGGAGAGTGGAGGTATGTCTGACCTCCACCTCACAGGGATCGGTCTTGGACTGATCTTGATTTGCATTATCCTCCTTAAAGTTAAACAGGTTCTGACAATGCTACTCTTACTACTCCCACTCCAACTGTACAGGCATGAAACAATTTCTCTCTCAAAGCCCCCAGAAGGAGTCAACACTGCCATAATCTTGATTCAAATTTGTAATCTTGTACAAATGGCATAGGGGTGGTGTCTGACCTCTTCTCTCTTCACAAAGGGGAAGAAGAACCAAGATCAACAGCCCAAGGCTGATCCCTATGAGGCAGAGATCAGACATGCCTCCTCTCTCTACCATCTTTAACAATTCTGACACAAATAGTCCCTTCCACAGCACTCTCTACTTCTCTGCTAGGTTTGATAATTCATTGCAATGGCCACACAGACTCACAGACAATACTTACAATTATGGGATTTATTATGGAAGTAACAGGTTACAATTCAGGCTCAGGAACACTCATGATACAGTTCTTTGATTAGGATAGACTCTTTTCAGCTGTGCTCACAGGCAAACCTCTCTCTGGCCATAGGCCTCTGCTCTGCTCAGGCAAGTTGTTACAAAGCTCTTTTAGCCCCTGCCAATAAGTGCTCAGAGGCACCCCACTCCACCAGTAAGCCTTGGCCCAAAGGCACTCAGTTTTCTCGCTCCGTGGGCTGGGAAGACCACTGTGTGGTCTCCTGCTGATCTCTCCTACCGCCACTTCTTGCCATCTTCAGGGTTACAGCTCTCTCTCTTGGTCTCCTGGTTCCAGGAACTTCTCAGTGCAAGGATCCTGAGTGCAAAGGACCTGTTCTCTGCTACTGGCTATTCTTCCTCGGTGGTGGTAGGATCCTCTCTCTGCTCTGGAATTGGCTCTCTTTTAAGGCAAAACTGACCAGTCCCCTTAGTGGGACTTATTTGCACAGTCCTCGCAATCACTTGGGTGGGAGTTACGTGACCATGGCGAGAAAGGCCACACGAAAATGATCCATCATGCTGCAAGTCTTCAAAACTGTGAGAAATAAATTTCTGTTCTTTAAAGCCACCCATTTTTTGGTATTTGTTATGGCAAGCCTAGTAAACCAGACAAAAAGAAAATTATATAAATGTTTCTTGAATTTATTTGAATTATGTAAATAACACACAAAAAAGACTAAAATGGAAATACACTAAAATTCTGGCAAAGGCTATCTTTTGCAAACAATATTTGGTGTGATATAGATGTTGTTTTACTTGAGTCAGACTAAACCTACAAGGAAATGTCCAAAGAGAATATGCAGCAAATTTGTAAGAGGAAGGACAAAAACTCCATCTTTTAATAGAAACAGATGTATTTAGTCCTTATCTCCTCCAAAATTTTCAATTCTACAGTGACAAAAACAGCATACAATGGGGAACATAACCCACATTTGAATATGAGTGCTTGAAAAGGGAACTAATTGGCCTTGATGTGACATCACTATTGGCCCTAAACGAATTAAAAGGTTTATGAAGAAATTCTATGAGCAAATCTATGCCAAAAAATTATACTACTTCCAAGAAATGAACAAATGCCTAGAAAGAGACAAATTAGCAAAATTCAAGAAGTAAAAAAATTTTTGAAGGATAATATATCATGACCAATAAATATATCCTTGCATTTCTCCAGTAATGTAACATTTTAGTTTAACATTCTAAAATGTTAAGACATTATGACAAATGATAAAGAGGCATCAACAAAAGGCTACATGTTTTATGATTTGATTTATATGAAATGTCAAGAAAACGCATATTAATAGAGACAGGAAGAAGATCAGTGGTTATGGGGACTGGGAGTAGGAGTAGAGAATGAGTGCATAGGGGCTCAACAACACTTTTCAGGATCATGGAAATGTTTTAAAAATGGGTTGTAGTGATGGTTGCACAGCTCTATAAACTCAGTGAAATCACTGAAACTTACACTTACACTTGGTCAATTCTGTGGTAAGTAAATTAAACTGCAATGAAACTAAAAAAAAAAAAAGATGCTTTT